TGGGAGTGGTGGCGAGCACCTGTAAACCCAGCTACTCAGGTGGCAGAAGCAAAGAATTGCTTGAACCCGGGAGGCAGAGGCTGCAGTGTGCCGAGATGGTGCCACTGTATCCCATCCAGTCTGGGTGACAGAGTGAGATTTTGTCTCAAAAAAAAAAAAAAAGAAAAAAAAATAAAGAAAATAATGTTCCTCTATGGTTTATCAACAGTTTTCTTGTTTATATATCTGTGGCTTAAAATTTTGGATGATCACTTGGATTTCATTTCAAAAGAGATTGTTACAGAGAGTTTATTTTTCTTTAAAGACAGATAGATCTAGGTTTCAAAGCCAACTCTGACACTTGCCTTGAGGACTCCTTTGCTAAATCTCTCCCTGGTTTTGTATTTTTTTGTAGAGTTAGGGTCTTGCTTTCTTGCCCATGCTGGATTTGAACTCCTGGGCTCGAGTAATCCTCCTGCCTCAGCCTCCCAAAGTGCTTAGATTAGAGCTATGGGCCAGTGCACCCAGCTACTAAATCTCTTAAAGCTTGTTTCCTCATCTGTACGTTGGAGATAATAATACAACCAAGAGACAGGCCTGAGTTATTGTAACAAAGCTAATACTTCTGTACAGCACATTTCTTCTTCATCTTCTTTATGTGAACTATACACACATATTCATGCAGCATTATATCTTTCAAGTATTGGTCAATATAGATTTAAATTTGACATGAAAAGGATAACAATCTACTCTTTAGAAATCTAATCAAATTACTATTTTTACAGTTAGAATTAATAATCTAGCAAAGTTTGTATTTGAATACATTATTAACTTCAATAGAAAGTTACCAAAGAGCAAATTTCCTAAGATTGATATTTAGACAAAATATGACCAAGACTCATTGTCTCTGTCTGAGACTCTTAGTGTAACGTCTAGTGTTCTGTGAGATAGGATTTAATTATAGCATCACTAAAGCAGCCAGCTTTCTATAAACATAGTACACCTGGGCATTATCTAGATACAATTCTATACTGAAAATTTACATATTCTCAAATTTATTGTATCTTATGTGAACATTATTGATGGGTTTCATATTTAATATCCATAGAATTCCATAAGACAAAGTTCAAGATTAGAAAATAATTCAAATTATAAAAGAATCTTGCACATATAAACATACTGTAACTGTGATTCAAGAGCCTATTCTGATACTCATTCTCACATCATCCTGGAGCTACCTTCATTAAAGCTGTGTTATAAGATGTCACTGGGATCAAATCATATGATACACTATAAAATAAGCATCCTTAAATACAAGATAAGAATGACTCTAAAATATATCAACTTCCATGCAATTGTGATTTACTGCATGGTGGATAAGAGCATGGTCTATAAAATCAGGCTATCTGCTTTGATCAAGCCATTAAATTATCTGTGCCTTGATTTCTTCATGTCTAATCTTCATAGGGTTTCATGAATGAGTTAAAAATACATAAAGTGCTAGAGTAACAGAGTCCGATGCATTTTAAGTTCTACCTGTAAGATTGCTGCAGAGAGATCCACTGTTAGTTTGATGGACTTCCCTTTCTGGGTAACTCAACCTTTCTTTCTGGCTACCCTTAACATTTTTTTTTCTTCATTTCAACCTTGGTGAATCTGATGATTGTGTGTTATGGGGTTGCTGTCTTTGAGGAGTATCTTTGTGGAGTTCTCTGTATTTCCTGAATTTGAATGTTGGCCTGTCTTGCTACGTTGGGGAAGTTCTCCTGATAACATCCTGAGGTGTGTTTTCCAAAGTGGTTCTATTCTCCCTGTCACTTCAGGTACAATAATCAAACATAGGTTAGGTCTTTTCACATAGTCCCATATTTCTTAGATGCTTTGTTCATTCCTTTTCATTCTCTTTTCTCTAATCTTGTCTTCACACTTTATTTCATTAAGTTGATCTTCAATCTCTGATATCCTTTCTTCTGCTTGATCAATTAAGCTATTGATACTATTATATACTTCATGAAGTTCTCCTGCTGTGTTTTTCAGCTTCATCAGATTGTTTCTCTTCTTCTCTAGACTGGTTATTCTAGTTATCAGTTCCTATAACCTTTTATCAAGGTTCTTAGCTTGCTTGTGTTGGGTTAGAACATGCTCCTTTAGCTCATAGGAGTTTGTTATTACTCACCTTCTGATGCTGACTTCTGTGAATTCGTCAAACTCATTCTTCATCGAGGAGCTGTGATCCTTTGGAGGAGAAGAGGCATTCTGGTTTTTGGAATTTTCAGCCTTTTTGAGCTAGTGTTTCCTCATCTTCGTGGATTTATGTACCTTTGGTCTTTTCTGTTGGTGACCTTCGGATGAAGTTTTGACGTGGTTGTTCTTTTTGTTGATGTTGATGCTATTGGTTTCTCTGTGTTGTTAGTTTTCCTTCTAACAGGCCCCTCTTCTGCAGGTTTGCTGGAGCTTACTGGAGGTCTACTGCAGACCCTTTTTGCCTAGGTATCATCAGTGGAGGCTGCAGAACAGCAAAGATCGCTACCTGTTCCTTCCTCTGGAAGCTTCTTCCCAAAGGGGCACCTGCTAGATGCCAGCTGGAGGCCTCCTGTATGAGGTGTCTATCAACCCTTGCTGGGAGGTGTCTCCCCCTCCAGAGGCACAGGAGTCAGAAACCCACTTGAGGAAGCAGTCTGTCTTTTGGACAGAGCTCCAGCATTGTGCTGGAAGATCCACTTCTCTCTTCAGAGTTGGCAGGCAGGAATGTTTAAGTCTGCTGAAACTGAGCCCACAGCTGCCCCTTCCCCCAGGTGCTGTGTTCCAAGGAGTTGGGAGTTTTATTTATAAGCCCCTGATGGGGGCTGCTCCCTTTCTTTCAGAGATGCCCTGCCAAGAGAGGAGGAATCTAGAGAGGCAGTGTGGCTACAGTGGCTTTGTGGTGCTGCAGTGGGTTCCACCCAGTCTAAACTTTCTGGTGGCTTTGTTCACACTGTGAGGGGAAAACTGCCTACTCAAGCCTCAGTAATGGTTGATGCCCCTCCTGCCATTAAGCTTGAGTGTCCCAGGTTGACTTCTGACTGCTGTGCTGGCAGTGAGAATTTCAAGCCAGTGGATCTTAGCTTGCTGGGCTCTGTGGGGTGGGATCCGCTGAGCTAGACCACTTGGCTCCCTGGCTTCAGCCCCCTTTCCAGGGTAGCGAATGGTTTTGTCTCGCTGGCATTCCAGGCACCACTGGGATGCAAAAATAACTCTTGCAGCTAGCTCAGTGTCTGCCTAATTGACCACTCAGTTTTGTGCTTGAAACCCACGGCCCCTGTGGTATAGGCACCTGAGGGAATCTTCTGGTCTGTGAGTTGAGAAGACCTTGGGAAAAGCGTAGTATCTGAGATGGATAGCACTGTCCTTCACAACAGGCACCCTTATGATTTCCCTTGGCTTGGGAAAGGAGTTCCCCGACCCTTTGCACTTCCTGAGTGCGGTGACACCCCACCCTGCTTCTGCTCACCCTCTTTGGGCTGTACCCATTGTCTTGCCAGTCCCAATGAGATGAACTGGGTGCCTCAGTTGGAAATGCAGAAATCACCCAGCTTCTATGTTGGTCTTACTGGGAGCTGCAGACAGGAGTTGTTCCTATTTGGCCTATTGCCTGGGAGTTCCCTAATTTACATTGTTATAGGCACATAAAGAAGAATCCCTTCATGATTGTAGGCAGGTCTGAGAAAATAGTATTTTTATTCTCGTATACTTGTACATTTGAAAATGCATATACAAAATATCAATACTCTGATGGAATGTAACAGAATCCAGAATCTCTGCCACATATGGTTCATCATCTAGAATATAATTCTAATTTACTAGACATATAGAGAAACAGGAAAATTATGACCCATACTTAAGAGAAAAAGCAGCCAATGAAGGTGAACTCCAAGATGACTCAGATTTGGAACTAGAAGACATAGATTTCAAATGTTCATTAAAACTATGCTCAAAAGCCTAGAGGAAAATATGAGAGCCAGTGCAATGGCAACTGGGACATGGGTTTATGTATATGCACTCTATTCTTCATATAAAATAATGTTCCTTATTAAAGTAATGATGACAGAAAATAGCTTGCTTATGCACATTGAAAGGAAGCATTGATTTTGAGTTTGTTCTGAGACATTCAGACATAATAAACCATAATTTAAAAAATACCCTGCTGTGAAGACAATAAAAAATTAGGTACAAGTTTCCACTCACAGACCTTGGAGTTGACTTAAATCTAAATGACTATAATAAAAATAATGAATTTCAAATAAATAGTATTAAAAGTCTCTGAAGCCCCAGTGGTAGAAAGTTTTACTTTTAGATTTGGGGAAGAGAGAATATAAGGACAAGCTTAGAGAAGGAATAACAGATGAGATGAACCTTGAAAGATGTTTAGAATTTTTATATATGCAGGTATGATGGAGCCAAGATTAGCATCAGGTATACAAAGTGAAGGAAGTTCTGATTATAATAAACTAAAGCAGCAATCTTTAGCTATAGGGCATGGTTTGTGACAACGTAATAGGAGATAATGTAAGAAGAGTAGGTGGGTCCAGATTGCAGAATCTGGATCCAATAGTTTAGACATCATTCTGAAGATACCAGGGGGTCAAATAAAAGACACAATACAAAAGCTCAATATTATTTCCTTTGAAAACCATAAACCCAGAAAGAATTTCTACTGTTTATTGTTTATGATTGTTACACTTACACAGTACAAAAAACAAATGAACTCACTCTTATAATTTTAGTGTAGGGCTCTAAAGTCTGTTAAGAATTAAGTTATCGCATGATAGATTTGAGGAAGAAAAGAATTTTAAAATGTGCTATAAAATTTCTTAACCTCTTGGTTACAAGATATATATATCTATGTGTATGTGTGTGTTCTTCAAACCATAAGCTCATATATATAATATTTAACCATATTATTTTATATATATAATATATATACATTACATATATAAACCATAAACTTGTGTATATATATAAAATATATATACTAAAACTATTTTAAACTATATTATTAAAAATATATTTAAAAGATTCAATAATATATCTCTGCTATTCAGTTTTCACATGAAGTTCTAGGATCATGTGAATAAGAATAACATAGATAATGTTGCCAGAATAGTTTTTTTTTTTAACAATCTGACCAATGATCAAATGCAGACATATAAAATAGAATATATATACACATGAGTTTATGGTTTGAAAAATATTTTACTGCACTATTAGAAATAGTCCATCCCTGTGACTTCTTGGAGTTTGGGAGTAGGGAAAGCAAATGTAATTTCATCTTTACAAGTAAAATTCATGCATAAAATATAAATTAAAGTTAAATAACATATTGCCAAGTTTGCAGAAGTGAGTGAATATTTCTTTCCTAAGGCCCTTTCTGATGAGGAAACTCAGAAGTTCTGTTTTCAGTTTGTTATTAGGCAGTTATAAAATTACAGTGAAATTTTTAAAATATTGATACAAAGACAAGGCATGGCAGAAAATATCTCAAAGCCCAGTATGATGTAAGGAAAATCTTTTGTGAGTAATGCATTTTTATAGTATTTCAGTTGTTTGAGGTCTAGAGATATTAGTTGGCAAAATTTGGGTATTTAAAAATGTCAGACTACTTCCCAGAACAGGAAGGACAGTGGAATTTTATGTCTCTGTTTTCATAATGCTTATTTTATCTTTCACATTATTCACTCCTTATCGCTAATGATATAAAGGAAAGGAACTTAGACATGTGGCCACAGACACTTTATGTTGCATATCAGTGAATTATCATGTGATACTTGTTTGACTTCAAAAAGCTAATGCAGCACCCGTGTTTTCCCTTACATTTGTGTTGTGGCATAACATGGTGCCTCATTAACCAATCTGGGATAATACAGATTAATATTCACACAAATATTTTCATGTTTTATAATTTCATAAAGTAAATTTTGTTTGAAATATTTTCTCTGATAGTCTTACAGTAATGTTTCATGAAAACAAGGCTCACTCCAGATGTGAGTTGCTCTTGCTACGATAAAGTTGTCCTTGTAAATTAGCCCAGTGTTTACAAAAAATGGAGGATCATGGGGAAAAATTGTGACTTTCCCTCCAAAAGGGAAAACCATCCCAATGAATCTACCATTATCAGTTTATTTCTCCTTATTTGCTGGTTTATGACATTAAAATACTTTAAAGTTCACTATTAAATCAAGAGCAGAAAGCTAATGAACTTTAACATATTTTCATGCACTGGTGGTCCAATTATGATAATAAAATGCCAGATGGCAAAATCATGATAAAAACAATGTACTCACTTTTGTTCTGTTTTGCTCTGGGTTTCCTGATAGGCACAAAGTGCCTATCAGGAAAAAAAATTTTTTTTTCAAATATCCTTAGTGCATCTCTCTAGTATTTTCATATCTAAATTCCCTGACAAACTCAAACATATTCTCTACTTTTGTTGAATTACCTTCTTAGGTTCTTTTTAACTTAAATTAAGATTCCACTATAAACCATACAACAAAAAAGGATGAATAAATTATAAAACTACCCCCCTTCATGATGAATACAAAACAAAAATATATCACACAGATATCCTTGAACTCATTATATTGCTTTCTTAATCATCATTACTGTTGACTTTAAATTTGCTTAACAGCACAACTTCTAAAAACTATTTAATAATATATCTTCTGCTATTCAGTTCTCACATAAAGTTCTATGATCATGTAAATAGGAATAACATGGAGAATGTTGCCAAAACAATTTTTTTTAAATCTGACAAGTGATCAAGTGCAGACAACTTGTTGCTTTATATATCTTGCATTTTTTCACTGACTGAGAAAGTCTTATAACATCTAGCATTTTTGAGTTGCATGCCCAAACCTAAGGCAGTCCAACTCCTTTCAATTATTAGAGGAAGAAATCAATACATTCTTGTCATCCCATTCTTTTCACATACTCTGGGTACAACTTGTCTTTAGATAAAGGTTAAATCTGTAACACTCTCTGATTGATGTCTGCAAGTTAAAGCAAGCCTACAGTTGCATTTGTAAAACAATCTGTTTCATAAGCACCTTGCTTTTCTTTGAATGAAAATAGGAGTTCATGAGCTCATCCTCTAAAGGATGTAAGGGATTTGAAGTTGTGTCTCAGTTGATTTATCAGCCTGTCCCTGAAGTGATCTCCCAAAAGAAAATAGAAGACTGGGTTGATGACACTGTTCAGGAAGGCGAAAGGTCGTGTCACAATGTATATGGTGTTGATGACGACCTGAGTGCATTGATACTGCTTCCAGCTCCCCAGGCGAGAAGTGATCCTCACATTCCGCATAACATGGTAGGGTGTAAAAAGCACAGAGAAGATCACCACTGCCATGATGACCAAGTTGAGAGGCTTTTCAAGGTCCAGAGCAGTAGCAACCTGCCTATTCCTCTGCTTTAGGAAGAGAGCAATCTTGTAATAGAAGAAACACATCATAAAAAGAGGAATAAGGAACCCCACCAGTGTTAGACACATGCTGTAAATGAGGTTGTACTTGGGATCTCCAGAACTTGCAAAATCATTACAAGTGGTGCCATTGTCAGTTATAACAGGATTTATAAGGGGAAGTATGGGCAGTAGCTCTAAGGTTACTAAAACCCAAATGGCCAAAGAGATTAAAATAGCAAACTCTTTCTTTTGCAGAAGGTGTTCTCGGAAAGGATACTTAATCAGCAAGTATCGATCTATGCTGATAAAAGTGAGAAAGAGAATGCTGGTATAAAGGTTGGCATGAAGCACATATCGGTTGCTTATGCAGAGCACGTCTCCATATATCCAGTTGTTCTTGGCATAACTCCTCATCAGCATGGGGAGGGTGCACAAAAAAGCTAAGTCCGAGATAGAGAGGTTAAAGAGATAGATATTAGAGCTGTTCCAGTTTTTCAGACAGAATATGTAGCCATAAACAACGATGGTATTTCCAAGGATTCCCACAATGAACTCCATCCCATAAAAAATGGAAAGGTAGTACTTTTCCAGGGCAGCCTCTGCTGCCAGCCAATTTTTGCAAGTTGCATTCCATGCCTAAAGAAGAGAGAGAATATAAGAATTAAACACTAGACTGTGACTAGTGACAAAACTGTGCAGAACATAATAACAATGAAAAACATTGAATGGTGAACTATGGAAGTAAGTTACTAAGGAAAGCATACATACATATACATATAGATACACATATATGTCATTAATGTATTATTTTAACAAGTATTTTTTAATATCTTTCAACTATGTGCTGAATATAATTTCAGGCACTGGAGATAACAGCAGTGAGTAAATCAAAGTTCCTAATCTCTAACAATTTATACTCTCTTGGGAAGAATCAGGAAATAAACAATAAGTGATGCCATATAATGATAAGTGCTATGAATAAAAACATATAAGGTAAAAATGTTAGAAAATTTTGGGGTGGAGGGTGGTAGTGAGTTATTTTTTACATGTGGTAATAAGGGAAAGGCTTTTATACAAGATGACATTTAAATAGAAACCTCAATGAAGAAAGTGAAAGAGACATATCTATATTTGCAAGAAGTGTTTCAGGAATAAGGAAGAGCACATGTAAAGGCATTAATATGGAAAGACCCATAGAGGGCTTGACAAACAGCAAAGAAACAGAGGGGAAGTATGATCAAATAAATGAAGAGAAAATTTTGAATTCACTTTTGTGTCTCCCAACATACCACCGTCCCCAGCGTACCGTAGTTGTTCAACAAATTCTGCTGAGTTAAACTGAATTAAACTGTAATCCAGAAGAGGAAATAAGAATCTTTAAAGCTTCAGTCTCACTATTTTAAGCTTTTACTTGTTTCCATATTGTCAAAGAATTCTGTTTATTGTATTAAATTCATAAACTATTATACAACTCCAGTTTTAAAACTTAATTTTTTAAAATTGAAAATATGAAACAGAAAATCTTAGTAATATTAACATTGGTCATGATTTATTGAAAGATGACATGCCTCAGACTGGGTAATTTATAAATAATAGAAATTTATTTCTCACAGTTCTATAGGCTGAAAAGTCTAAGATCAAGGTGTCTGATTTGGTGTCTGATGAAAAGTCACCCTCTGCTTCAAAGACGATGGCTGTTGCGTCCTCGCAACAAATGTCAGAAGGGGCAAGGCAGCTCCCTTCAACTTATTTCACAAGGATACCAATCCCATTCATGAAGGCAGAGTCCTCATGACTTCATCACTTTCCAAAGGCCCTACCTTTTAATATTATTAGGTTCCAACATACATTTTGAGGAGACACCAATATTAAGACCATAGCACTTGCCTCGGTCACATGCTTAGTAAAAGACCTTTGTTTTAATGCCTTCTGAATACGTACCACGGAAATAAGCTATCTGACTTATTCAAACCTCAAGTGTCTTGCTAATCTATACTTTTTCCTCTCATCATGAGACCAGATTGTGATTGGATAGGGTATTTCAACAACTTGAATTATCTGAAAAATGTATTGAATTGTCATTATTAAATATTAAATATTTTTATTTCTAGTGAGGAAACCCAAGATTAAAAATAAAATGTCCTAAAATCCTCCTTGTCAAGTAGGCTTTGGAGTATTACTTGCAATCAAAGAATTCTTTCAATATAGAATTTTGGTAACCAGAACAAAATAAGAATAAATGCACCTAAACCGCTTTTTTAAGGGAAGCATGCAAAATTCAGTAGACTTTCCTACTATAAGGCATCTGGAAAACTCATATGTATTTTTGTCAAATTCAAGTGGTTTACTTTAAAGATCATTGTTATTTTGAGAGTGTTTTATTTATGCAAATAAGTCACAGAATTGTAGATACGATAAGTTGAATATTTTGAAAAGTTATTTTTAATCACTTTCTTTAAAACAACATACATTTTTCTGAGTCCTTTGAATTCTTCTATGGCAACCTGCCACTAAGTGCAATTCCAGACAAAGCTGAATGGGAACTTTCTGAAGCAGCAGACACAGAATGCTGCTGAAGAATAAAGCAGATTGGTTTCACTCTATCTTCAAGGTTGCCTAATTCTACTGTTATCTCACATTGCCAGAATATTTCCATATTTCTCTCATTTGATATATTTTAATCTCTTAAAAGCCTTTTCATTTACTCTGCCTTACTCATTATTAGCAAATAGTTTTGCCTCCTGGTTCATTGAGATAGAGACCATTTGTTGAGCTTACGCTAGATCCAACTCATTCGCAAATTCTCAGCATTCCTATGCTACCATTATTTCCTCTTTTCTGACTTTTTAGCATCCTTCTCTCCATCTTCTGTCTTCATCTCATCTTTTCAATTAGCATTTAAACACTCTCATCTCTTCAGTCTTAAACATAACTGGAGCAACATAAACAACTCTCCCTAGTTTCACATGTTCCTCTCCTCTTCATAGTTTGATTTCTGAAAAGAGCCATCTCACTAAGTGTTTTAACATCTTGACACCCCATTCCCTTTAAACTTACTCCAATTTGGCTTCTGATCTACCAGTCCTACAAGTAGCCTCCACATTGCTTAATCCAATAATCATTTCTCACTAGTCTTATTTTATTTCTCAGTTGTTTTTCATACTACATCTTCCAGAAACACTCTTCCATTGTCTTCTGAGACATGACAATAACCTAGTTTTCATTCTTTCTCCTTGGTTGTTCTTTGCAGGCACTTTTGGGGCCCAAGTCTTCTTGGCTCAAGCATTAAGTGTTGAGTAACTCAAAGCTAATTTCTGGGCTCCATCTTTCCATATATTCTGCCTGAATGATCTCATTCATTTTTGAGGTTTAATGACCAACTATACATCAACAACTCCCAGATTTCCAGCCCGGCTTAGATCTGCCTTAAAAACTCTAGTTTTTTATTGCCGTTAATTGATTTCTCTTAGGCATCTCTGCTTCCAGAAATCCTATACTAAACTCTCCAAGTTCCTTACCAAACCTGTAGCATATTCACCTATTTCAGTAAATGGTTCTCCCATGTACCCAGGTGTTCACCACAAAAAATCTAGCAATATCCTCAAAGTCATCTAAAACTTAACACCAGTAATGAATAAATTATCAAGTCTGTTTACTGTAATGTCTGGATATTTCTCAAGTCTATCAATCCTGCTCCATAGCTTTCATTATTATTTCAGTCCTGGCTACTCTCATCTCTATCTGGCACTATGTCATAGTCTCCTATTGTCTCCTCACATCCTCTCTGGCCCTCATCAATTCATCTTTACCATTATAACTAAACAGTCTTGAAAAACTACAATTCAAAATCGGATCATATAGCTGTCCCTGATCAAAACCCTTAATTTCCTTTCCACTATCCAAGGAATGTAGTTTAAAATCCTTAAGGGGGACATCAAGGTCTGCATGATCTAGCCCCTGTATCCACTTCAATTTTGCTTGGCCTTACTCTCCTCCTAACTCATTTGTTTCCTCCTGCTCTTTGAATGCAGAGAGAGCCTTCTTAATGTGCAGTCCCTCTGTCTGAATCTCTTTTCACTGCTGTTTTTGTTCTGTGATACCTTGCCTCTGTTCAAGTGTAGGTTTCCCAAGATAGGTTGTCTGACTCTCAGTCTAAACTAGATCCCCCCCATTTATGCTACTGTTTTATACTAAACTTCTTAGAATTTTTTACAACTTTGTCTTACTCATTTTTTAGTGTTCAAATCTGGCACAGTGACCAGCAGGTAATAGGTGGTGTATAAATCCTTGTTGAGTGAAAAGATGAATATAAACACCTATTTGCAAAGCATTTTATAAGTATTTTATCCAAGGCCAGATAAGTAGCAAGACAACCAAATTAAGCTCATTGCTCTATTTCACTATGAAAACCAACACTGTGTATAAGCATTCAAAGCTGGCAATTGTAGTAGTAGTAGTAGCTGTAGTTTAGAAACACATTTGTACAAGGTAAAACAAAATATCTATCTTCAAGGATAAATTTTTAAATTTAAGCATTTAATTAAGAAATGACACCTAAAATAATAAACATAAGAAGTCTAGGAAGAGATGCATCAAAGTGTTTAATAGTTTTATCTCTGTTGATGAGATTTCAGGTAGTTTTTATTATGCACTTTCTCTTTTTATCTAAATCTCCCATCATTTTTTTCTCTCAAAATAGGCATCTATTTGATGATTTTAAAGACTTTAAATTTCTAGAAATACAGCAAAAATGTCAATAGACTGTTTAAAATATTAACAAACTTCATTGTTTAGCTCAATGGTCAGTTTTCACTATTAATCTTTAGTCGCAGTTGTATTTAAGTCCACTTCCATTTCTGGAAGCACTCTCTTCCTGTCTTTGTAACAAATATGTCACAGAAAGCAGGAAAAAAAAAAATCTCCTTGTTTTCCTCCTTTCTCCATGTTCAGGCTCTTTTGTGGACTAATCCTTCTTTGCCCAAGTTTAAATGTTGGACCTTCTAAGGCCTTAGTTCAGAACTCTTGTGTTGTTTTGGGGGTACTCAAAAAGCTGGTGCACAAATTCAAATGAAAATTAAGACACAGAAAATTCTATGACACAAGAAATTTGTTTCGTTTTTGCATTTCCTTTTTTTGTGGTCATTACGTTTATCTTTCTGCCTAGTCAGCACTGCTAATCTTAGTAGCTTATGTATTGTGCACAGCAGAAAGATTTGACTGCAATGGAAGGAAAATATAGCCACAAAGTCTTCCCAGTTTCCTGTAACTAACACTCAGGTAAGTGAGGGGTCACATAAAAGTCAAGGAGCATTCTGCTGTACAGTAGTCCAGAAGGTTGGAGATTGAAGGAGTAGTAGGGGTGGAGAATACCAGAGCTGGAATAAGAAAAATGAATGGCTAAATCATCATATTTGCCTTGCTTCTCATACAGCTGTTTCCTTATTTTCTAAAAAACAACTTTTAAAAAAATGTATGTACAAAATTCTTGTTAGTTGTGTAACACTCAAAAAATCAAATAGGCAAAAACAAGAAACAAAAATTGTCTGTAAACAGACCACTCCTAATATTTGGGTACCCTTCTACACTTTAATATTTATTTCAATTTATATTTACAAAATTGAGATTTTTTATGATGATTTATAGTCTTTCTTTGATACATTTGTTTCATTCTTTTTTCCAAGTTCATAATTTTAATAATAGATTATGGTTTTATAAATATAAGATGTCCAATATTTGCAGACCAATTTAGTTTCACCAGGATATACAAGTGTGAAGGTACCATATTTCAAATTGGATATATTTGTAGTTGGGTATGTTTTTAGTGTGGCATCACGATTCTATAAACATATGAAGTAAGCTGCTCTTTTAAGCAAAACTTCCAACTGAAGAGAAAATTCTTCATGAAATTTTAAAATTCTCTCTTCTGCTTTCTAGTGGTTATATTCTTAATTTTTAGGAAATGGAAGTAGTGATGAATTGTAACTGATTTGGATGAATTATTTTAAACAGGTTTTTATTTTTAAGATCAGAAATTAAAGTGAAATCATTAGTTCCTAGTCCAAAAATATATCTGAAACTGTTAGAATTATTGAACTGGAAGCAATACCTAATTTACTCACATAAGCAGATCAATAATTCTTACTCGTTTTTAATTTGAAAATGTTTTTTACTTTAAATATATTCAGCCTTTTGAAGATGTGGCATTTTTGAAATTTACTTTAATATATATATATTTGATAGTTTCTAGGCTTTTTAATTGTTTGCTTTTATAGTCATCACAATTAAACAAAGAATATTTGTAAAATTTTTACCTTTAAGTACTACCTTAAGGCAAATTTACGTAGTAATATGAGAATTTTTTTAACAAATTACTTTTTCTATTACAAAGCAATTTGAGTAAAAATACATATTCACACTGAAAAGATAGAATAATTTAACATTGATAACTTTATTTTTATGCATTCCATACATTACACCAGAAATTAAGATATTAAAAGGCAATAGTATGGCATAATTGTGTATTAATTTCTTTAAAAATACCACATACATCTTGAAAAGTTATAGAAGATAATATAAATGATTTCTACAATTTTTTATTTTTCCTAAGTAAATTATATTCTTGGATAATATAATTTTCACACACATATTTGTTAAATTTAATCTTTAGGATGCCTGAAAATTCCCTCTAATACATTATTTTCTAAACATAAAAATATTATGTCTGGGCACGGTGGCTCATGCCTGTAATCCCAGCACTTTGGGAGACTGAGGCAGGCGGATCACCTGAGGTCAGGAGTTTGAGACCAGCCTGACTAACATGGTGAAACTCTGTCTCTACTAAAAAATGCAAAAAAATTCGCCTGGCATAGTGGTGGTGGGGGCCTGTAATCCCATCCACTCAGGAGGCCGAGGCAAGAGAATCACTTGAACCTGAGATGTGGAGGTTGCAGTGAGCTGAGATCATGTCATTGTACTCTAGTCTGGGTGACAAGAGTGAAACTCTGTTTCATAATATATATATATTTATATTACAATATATTTATCTATTTTATATATTTATTTAAATATATAAAATATATTTAGTAAATAAAAATATAATACACATATATTATAAATATAATACATACATATAAAAAACCTTTATATACATATAAAATACATGATTGTTTCAAATGATTTAGGAACTTCAATTTTTTCCCCATAAGTAGTTATATTTATTTAAGTAAATTCGATTACTATTCTTGTTGAAATATAAATTGTTGAGACATTAGCAAATATAATAAATCCCTTTGAAGAAAGTAAAGTTAGTATTTGACAACTAAAACAAGGAAGTTAATTTGTTGAAAAATAAATGTAGAGATATAAATAATGACTTCCTTTTCTATTCTTTTGCTGTTTTACATCTATTTATAAAGAATTAATTTAAACACTTAATTCTTAACACCTTAATTGCTTACAGGCCACCTTTAGAAGGATATCTGGCCTTACTTTATACACTGAGAGACACAATTGGCCATGCAGCTTACCATTCTGTTGGAAGACCTGATCACTTCACAGAAACTCTGCCAGCAGCTGGATATAGCTTCTGACCCAGCGCTGTGCCGCTGGACATGGTTAGTACAGTCTTATTTGCATATCATGTAGCCAAGATTAATAATTCAAAAGCCCAGAAATAATTTATTCAGTCAAACCTCCAAGTCAGAGATTTTCACTCAGGGGAATTTTTGTAAGGCTTTCATTTTCACATTCACATTTATTTTATTTTTACATTCAATTTTCCATGTAAATGGCAAAAACCAAATAACTCATTTTACAGAAAACACATTTACCAAACAGATTTTTAAAAGACTACTGTTGAAATTATTTTATCCACTACCAAAGCAACAGAGAAGCATTCCTTATTTTAGTTTTTATTTGCATATTTAGACAATAAGAAGTGGTAAATAATGTTTATGTTGGAATACAGTTGCCTCTGCATTTCTTTCTTTTTTTCAACTTAATATTTTTTGGTGAATTCTATATTGAGAATATAATAATGAAACTTCTTTTTTCAATAACCTCGAGGGAACTATAAAACTGAAATTTTAGAGGAAACCTGGATATATGCTACGTTGGTGTACTCATAAAAAGATACTGGAGCTCAAGTTATTTTCCATTTATTTTCTGTGATTAAAATCAAGTAACACATAAAAAGATACATCAGATGGCTAGGGATTAGGGAGAGGGTTGCTAAGTAAGATAACCTTAATAGATGGCAATTTATATATCCTAATCAAAGCTCTGTAAAACACCTGGAAGTACATTACCACCGTTTCAGACAAGAAGCACACCTGAATTTTTCTGAGCATTATATTAGATTTAGATTCAAGTAAACACTCAGTCTTCTTGATGTGAAGCATAGGGATTATACTGAGAAAGCCCATAATTGTGTAGACAGCAGTAACTGAATTTAAATGCTATGTAAGTTGAATATTGAGTTAGCAATGACAGGCAGAAGCTCAAAAATAGGCTCTGTTACAGGCATCCTCCTAGCTAAACACTTCCCCTCACCAATATCTGATAGCTTAAAACTCAGAAACTTCAAAGTAGCTACATACACATGCATTTCTACATATATATGTGTATATATTACACACTTAAAGTGTATACATGTGTGAAATATAAATATATTTATGTATATATGAATATTTATGTACAGAAATATGTGTATTTACATGAAATAAAAATATCTATAATTTGCTGAGTTCTTCTGATGTGCCAGGCAGGTATTACACTAAGTACATTTATACATCAAATGCATATAGTAATTCTCTGAGGTTGTAATGATTTAAGATTCTCCTCATTTTGTGGATTAAAAAGCTGAGGCTCAGAGAGGTTAATTAACTTTCTCAAGATTGAAGAATCAGTAAGTGGAGGGACCAGAGCTTAAACCTATATACTTGGATTCTAAAAGCACTGACTTGGGTTCTTGACTGCCTACAGGATTGAATGACAATACCCTTGTGCACAACAAAGTCTAAAAATTAATAACAGGTATTTTTCGGTAATGCAACGCTTTTCTACTTTTAGAAGGAAGAAGGGTTAAAACATTGTGGGCTAAAAGCATTTGAATAACCAATGCCAGGCTTGTTAATTTTAAACAGAAAATAACATGAACCTCTTCCAAGAAACAAAGACAAATGGATGTATTTCACAGGTTTCTGCCACCATTCTGATGGAAGAAAAGGGTGATGCCCTCATTGTGGGGTGATAGGAGTTACTCAGAGCTGCCTGTTTCTTCTCCACACTTCCTGACTACTATCTCACTCTGGCTGCTAAGACAAAAAGTGGTCTATGCTTCTCCTTTTTCATAGTATAAGTCATCCAGACTGTAGCCTGGTGGCCTTGTTTCCCTTTCAAGTCCTACTTCCTGTTGCCTCAGAATATTCTCAGTTGAGATCTGGAGTGTTTCTGGGAAAGACTTACTAAAAGGTCACCAGTATTTCTGCTACAAAGCTTTATGCAGGTCTAAAAAGGATAGCTGCACAGGAACAAGGCTGGATTCAGGATTATAACCCTGTGAGCAGGGAGGGTTTCATGGCATGCTACTATGTAGTCTCACAGTGCCTCACACCCAAAAATATCACACACGTAATTTAATGCTAAATTATTTTATTCTTAATTTAGCTATTCCATAATTTCTTAACAAGGGACCCCATATGTTTCTTTTGTACTGGGCTCTACTAATTATGTAGCCAGTTTCGCCTGTGAGAGTAGAAACCTCCTCAGAAACTATTTCTATTCAGCACTGCACATCAAATTTTGAGAAGGCAAAGTTTTTGTTGTTGTTGTTTTACACATAACATGTTGAAATACACTGCTTGAGAATCAATGGAAGTTTGAAAGGCAGTGAAGTTTGCAGTACTGTCCAGGCATGGTGATTCATACGTGTAATTTCAGTACTTTGGGAGAACAGGGTGGGCGGATCACTTGAGCCCAAGAATTGGAGACCAGCCTGGGCAACCTGGTGAAACCCTGTCTCTACAAAAAGTGCAAAAATGAGCTGAGGCATGGTGGTGCGTGCCTTTAGTGTCAGCTACTTGGGAGGCTTGAGGTGAGAAGATTGCCTGAACCCGGGGAGGCTGAGGCTGCAGTGAGCCATGATTGTGCCACTGCCCTACAACCTCGGAGACAGGCTGAGACCCTGTCTCAAAAAAAAAAAAAAAATTAAGAACAACAATGAACATTTTTTAAAATATGTATTTTTAAAAGCTTGCAGTACTATTTGCTAAGAGGTAGTACAGCACAGTGTTTAAGAGCATAGGTCCTAGAGGCAGACTGCTTTGTTTGAAACATTGACTTCACTACTTACTAGCTTTCAGTTTTTGTATTTGTAAAACAGGGATAATGAGAGTTACCAATATTATGAGGTGTTATGTACATATTAGAAGTATATATGCTATGTAGTATGAGGTGCTAGTACATACATATGCTGTATAGTATGCGGTACATATTGGTTGCTAAATAATTGTTAACTATTATAGAAATTTATAACAAATGAGAGAAGACCTTCTCCAAAATGATCATGGTAATCCAATGCCATTGATGTTAGAATTCTTGCTGCTCAGAAACATCCATTTAAAAGGTTCTTATAAAAGCCAACATGGTAAAAAGGTTAGCGAGATCTTATCCTGGCTTTGCCTTTTACTAGTTGTGTGATCTTTGAAAAAAGTCACATATCCTAATTTCCTTGTTTAGAAAAGGAGAATAATAATTCCACCACGTAAAACTCATAATGTTCATAGTGTCATATGTATACATATGATACTCATACATATGACACTATGAACATTATGAGTTTTACGTGGTGGAATTATTATCCATATGAGTATCATATGGATATCATATGATACACATGATAGTATCATACACTTAGTATCAAATATAATGTTTGAAAATGCAATGGGCTCGAAATTAAAGAGCAGTTCATGTAAACCAAGCAAACTAATCAGGACATTCAAGAAAAAAAAAGAAATCTAACAGAAATCTTAATTAAATCCAATGCTAATGATAACTTCTACTGGGTCCAGTGGCTCATACCTGTAGTCCCAGCACTTTGGGAGGCCAAAGCAGGAGGATCACTTGAGCTCAGGTATTCAAAACCAACCTGGGAAGCATAGCAAGACCTCCTCTACTAAAAATGGAAAAAATTAGCTGTGCGTGATGGCACACACCCACGGTCCCAGCTACTCAGGGTGGCTGAGGTGGGAGAATCGCTTGAGCCCAGGATGTCAAGACTGCAGTGAGCTATGATGGCATCAACTGCACTCCAGCCCAGGTGGCAGAGTGGGACCCTGTCTAAAAAAATTAATAATAATAATAACTTCTACTAACATTTTTTTAACAGTCACTCTATAACAACACAGTGTATGCATTAATTCTTTTAGTATTCACAATAATTTAATGCAGTGAATACTATTAATACCAGAATTTTCAGTTGAAGAAACCAAGGCCTAAAAAAGATTAAATAAATGATCCACAAATACACAGCTAATACATGATTTGGCTATATAATTTAATGCTTCATCTGTTTGACTCCTGAATCCAAACCCTTCTCCATTATTCTCCTGAGACTCTCTCATGGTAAAGAAGAAAATATTAAAAAAAAAAAAAGAAGAAGAAAATATTGGATTGAAATATAAAATTATTGACACTGGAACATTTTTACCTTGTATATGGCAATTTTATATGGTTTAGTAAAATAAGTTTATAATTAACACTAAATTTAATTATTAGTTATAAAACTTTGATTATCAATTTAATAATTTAAATCTTCCAACTAAAAAGAATAGAGCATTTTAGATAAGAAATCAAACATGTTAAAAATAAAACAGTTAAAGTATTTATAGAAAGATTCTCCTAGCAACATCTCTGGGAATGTTTACAAGACACATTTAACAGCCCAAAAAGTCTGTGCAGAAAACAAAGTGGTTTAAGGGTCATACTAATCTTCAACAATCATAAGCAGAGAAAGAGGAGGGCAATTAATCTAATTTGAGAACTTTCCTCTAAATCCATAAGGAGAAGTTATAATAATAACAACCCTCCAAGGTTGAAACAAATCAAGATTGTTGGGGAGGATATTTTGGTGTTTCTGAATAGACAGAAGCAAGATTACATAGTTATTTTCTTTTTCAAAGAATGGTTTTATGTAGTAAAATAATAAAGGACAAACAGCAAAAGGAAAAACACAGTAGAAGGTATTTGTGTCTCAAAATTCTTCCAGCTTCTAGAAATCAACAAATTCTGATAACCAAATTTACTTTTCCAGGGAAAATAGTCTATTCAAATAGGCACTCAAGCAATCTACTCCCTTCTTATATGAAAATCCTTGCCATTTAAGAGCTGCATGATTAATGGAAGTTTTTGCATTATTGACTTTTTTCTGATTACACAGTGAAGAAGAATATGTGTCCTATCCATTAGTATTGGGCCTAACTCAAAGGAATTGTTCTGCTAAATTAAAACACATTATTTTTAAAAAGCACTTGACTATAGCTAAAATATTCCAAGTTCCTTGAAGTACTAATAACTAACCTAGAAACACAAGAAATTCACCTTTAATCTTTC